ATATAGATAGACAGTTCGACCGACACGTATGTCGACACACACACACACATATGTATAAACATGTAGACAAACTGGATACTGAGATATATAAGTCGATAGATGGATGGGCGGATGTGCGCGACAATAGGAAGTTGACGAAACCACCATAGAACCCAGGGCCATCGCAAATCGACCGCCTCCCCCTTCCCCCAACAACCTACTTATTACCCGTAGGGTTGTCCTATTGGTGTATCTCTCTCTATATGTGTGTGTGTGTGTGTGTGTGTGTGTGTGTGTGTGTGTGTGTGTGCGCGTTTTTGCGTGTGCCGTTTTTATGTTAAATGTATTTTTGTTTCGTGTGTGTGTGCTATTGTCTACATATCTTTTGTGTCCTGGGCTTCCAGCAGCCTCGGGGGAACTCGGGGGGGCTCTGGGGAGGAGTGGGGGGAGGGAGGGTGGAGGAGGGAGGAAGGGGGTGAGGAGAGACAGCAAAGGAGGGGGGGAGAGGGAGGATGGGTGAGGAGGGGGAGTGTAAGGATTGGAGGGGGGATGAAGGATGCGTGGGGAGGGGGAACGGAAGGATTGAAGGGGGGAGGGAGGATGGGCGAGGAGCGGGAAGGGAATGATTGGAGGGGGAAGGAAGGATGGGAGAGGATGGGGCGAGCGCCGACCCATAGGGCCACTCGAGCACGGCGTTCCCAGGCGAAGCACGGATGGAGGAGCGTGCCTCCTCAGAGGGCCCCCTCCTGGTGGTTACGACGCCTTTGCTCGTCCTGGTTCCCCCTCCTTCACCTTCTCCTCGTCGTTCGTCCTCCTGCTCCTTCATCCTCGTCGTCGTCCTCCTCCTCCTCCTCCTCCTCGCCCACCTCCTCCTCCCTCCTCCTGCTCCTCCTCCCTCCTCCTGCTCCTCCTCCCTCTCTCTTCCTCCTCCTTGTCCTCCTCTCTTCCTCCTCCTTCTCCTCCTCTCTCCTCCTCCTTCTCCTCCTCCTCCTTCTCCTGCTCCCTCACTCCTCCTCCTCCTCCTCCTCTTCGTCCTACTCCTCCCTCCTCCTCCACCTCCTTGCCCTCCTCCTCCTCCTCCTTATCCTCCTTCTCCTCTTCCTCTTCCTCCTCCTTCTCATTATTTTTGTGATCCTCTTGCTTTTCGTCCTAGTTCACGCGACGTAGACGTCAACTGCAGACAGACTTCGACGTCGAGTGCACACAGGGTGTCCTGAAGGGCGTACGCGCCATGCGGAAGGTATCCTCCGAGCAGAAGGGCCACCCAGGCCACTTTTTTGGGGTACCCTGCGCTCGGATCTCGAGCCTGGGGGCTCGGACTTGCCGCGACCTCCTGGGTGGCTGCTGCTGCGCGGTTGATAGACGGCTTATCTTCGAAGGGAGGAGGAAGGGAGGAAAGGCGGGAGGGAGGGAGGGAGGGAGGGAGGGAGGGAGAGCAGAAGTGGAGAGAGGGATGGAGGATGAGGAAAGGGGGAGGGGAGGAGGAGGCTAAAAACAGAGGGAACGATGGGATACTCAGGAAAGGAGAGAGGGAGGGAGGATGGACACATTCAGAAAGGCGGGGGGGGGTGGACGCAGGGGGATGGAGGGAGTGAGGAAAGATGGTGGGTCTGCTGCATAGAAGTTGGACGTCCCCTGCAGGGCGTCGCCGCCATGCGCAGGGCGCCACTGCCGCAAGCAGGGCACAACTGCGTGAAGCGGGCTCGGAGCTGGGCGCGCTGGCTGGGAGCAGGCCCTTCGAAGACCTTGTCTTGCTTGTCCTCTCCCTCTCTCTCTCTCTATCTATCCCTCTCCCCTCTTCTCTCTTTCTATCTCTCCCTCCTTGTCCTCTCCCTCTCTCTCTTTCTATCCCCCCCCCCGCGAACACCACCGAACCCCTGCCCTGAGCCTTCGAGAACCCTCCCAGGCCAGCCGAGAGCCCCCGAGCCACATCGGGCCGCCGAGAACCCCTCGGCGGCAGGCCGCTCCCGGCCTCCGAGGCCCTGCCCCCAAACGTCCAGGAG